TGAACATTATTGGGTATGTCCTTGAGCTCTGAAAATGGAGGTCTGGGGTGAGAACAAGTGCAGCTCCTCTAGAGAGTGTGGAAAGGCAGCCTGCAGAAAGACACGTCTATACGTTGACCTGTCTGTTGTGAAAATAGGGAAGAAAGCCAATCATTCCCAATTCTGCAGACATTCTGACAGCTAAAGTAGGCATTAACAATTTGCAACACATGGCATGGGGGATGAAAGTCTCTGAGCTCTACAACTGAGAGTTTCCCGGCTGAAATGAAGTAGCAGTTGAAGGTAGCTCAGAGAAAAACCTATTTTATCATACACTGTGTAGGACAAAATGGATAACATTACCAAAAACTGGGGAAACAATGTCACAACTCAAAAATAGTATCATGTTCTGGCTTCAAGTCTGAATACTTCTGAGTTTTTTTGGCCTTTGTATGGGGATTTTCCTGACAAAGAAGGATCGGGTTTTAATATAGATTTCTGCCAATATATAATAACCTTGTTGCTTTCAACGGACTTGGTACATAAAAATAATTTTGTTGCCAATATATTGATGCAGAACTAATCATTTTGGATCTTGATTGGCACAAGAGCTGGAAGAGTCTCACAGCATTATCCTGTTAGACCCAAGTTTTGCTAGACTTGCCTGCAGAGCCCTGCGCAGCCTCAGCCAGGCTCGTGGGGAAAAGGGTTGGGAGTATGAGTAGGAAGATTTGCACAGCCAAACCTTCAGGTGGTGAGAACTGTTGTTTCTTTAAAGGACTTAAATCAGGCTCTACTGATTTACACCAGAACGCCTTTGCAAAGTTAAAAAGATGTTTTTCTTGCCTAGGCCTTCAGAGGGGGTGAAGATTATTTGTATGAATAATTCTGAACTAGAATAAGTTGAGATGGAGAAATAGCAGATGAATGTTTTCAACAGTTGATAATATAATTTACATGTATTAAAGATGTGATCAGGTATATTTGGAGAGGAATCAAGTTTCTCTAAGATGAAAACCAGAATCAAAACCACAGGGAAGAATGCCATTATTTAGAAAAATTGAACAGCTGAGAGAAGAAAATACATATTTGAATTTTTATTATTTTTCAGTAATTCTGTGTAATTGTTATAGCAGCAAAGCCAATTAAGCAGGTAAAAGTGAAATTGTATGATAAATGTGAAAACAACTTTTACTTTATTTTTGGAGACAGAAGCTAATATCTTCTCAGTGTGAATCTGTGAAAACTGTTTTCTTCGCTATTTACGCTGCTTGCTTTTGATTTGATTTCAATTAATAAAATAATTCTTAGACATATACTCTCTGTTGACATAGTTATTGCTAAGTCTTGAACATAATGTAGACCTAGACAATAATAATTCCATTATTATTTTTGTAGTTGTGGGTAGTAAAAATTAATCATTCTGTGGAAAGAAAAGATCCAGGAAGATACCTGATGATAATAAGCAAAGACCGCGTCGTATCTGGAGGAACTGCATTGTTTTTGATGTGCAGGTTGGGTTTACTAAAGGTATTAATGTCTTGTCTTTACTGTCTCTACACTAACATTACCTGTTCACAGACATTTAGGTTATAGAGTTTCAATTAAAAAAAAAAAAAAGTTAAACCTTGGACTCTGTCACCAATGAAAAGTGCTACTCTTTGTGGGGAAAATTTGTACCAATGGCTTTTTTCATGGGGGCTCACTACCATCAGTGCTTTTCAGCTGAGAGCGGTTTTATATCTGCTGCTGCTGCTGCTGTCATCGTATTTGCGTCACTCCGGTGTCTGCCAGATTCCTTCTCTCTTGGCATTTTCCGTCTGTGGGAATTCACGGCTGGGAGACGCAGGTCCAGGGCAGACCTGCAGCAGGGGGGATGGTTAATCCGGGGTTGGGTGTCCCCCCGTACCGTTCCCCGTTAGTGACATGGAAGTAATGCGTGTACAAGAGTACTGCTGTGATCCTGCTCAGCCAGTGGAGATAAATTGTAATAATTGGGTGGTGAGGCAGGAGCTGGCGCTCGGTGTGACGGCAGAGACAAAGGGAACAGGAAATCGCCATACAGCGTCATATGCTCCTTCTCAACCTTAATTTTGATTGCAGATGTCAGCGTGGCTTTATAGTTCTTGAATGTGCTGTTTTATCAAGCTCAGTGTGTGGGAGAGATTTTTTTTTTGAAACTGAAACAATGCTGGAAAATGATTGGCATAAGGTTAGCTTTAGACACATTGCGGTTCCTGAGATAGTTGCATAAGAAACACCAATATTAACTTATTGGCGAGGGGACTTTTGAATTAGTTAAAATTTGCATTTTTCATCCATGTCTTGTTCTAACTCTTATGTGAGTTAGAAGTGCTAGGAGATACAGTTGAGAGGGTATATTCCCTTAACTCTAGTTTCTTAAGCTCTATAACAAGTACTCTAAGTACTCTCTTTTTCTTTCACCTATTTACTCTCCTTTAATGCCACAGTTGTGTTCTTTTACAGTATTTAGGATGGTATACTTGTACTGGTTTGAAATGTATTAGGAGAAGATGTTAAAATAGTGCTGCAGGAGAAAGGAAATATACTGAAGTTAACAAAAGATACACCGTTATCATGACCAGCGAGAACTGGGATTGCAATGGTTTCTTATGCTCTTTTACCGAAAGCATTGTTTTGTGGAGGCATAAAATCATAACTAACTATGGACCCCTCTGTCTGCAGCCATATATGTTGCTCAGGGTTGAGAGAGATTAATTTCCTGTCTGTATGCAGGTACCGCAGATGAACTCGTCTTGCTTTAATTTGACCAAAACACTTCAGAGTAATTCTGTGTATTTTTCTTCAAAGTTTATGTTATTTGTTGCGTATTCTTTAGCCTTTAATAGGGCTAGTATTGACTTAGAGTTACAAAGTGAAACTGTAGTGATTTTGAACACATAGTTCATACATTAGTAGTTTTATGGCTATACTAATGATTTTAATATATATGTGTTTTAGCTGAACTTTTTTTGTTGCACGTTCTTCTAAACTTGAATGTTATCTTTATTTTTTTCTGCTGCATGAATTTATGAAGCAAACAGAAATGGGTAGCGCTAGGCAACAGAGAAGTAAATTTGAACATACATATATATATATATAAACTTTCATGTAAAAATCATTTTAATAACACTACACCAAAATAATCATAGATGCATGGTGACTCATTTTTGTGTATTCACATAAGAACATGCTTTGAGCAGCCTTAGATTGAGATTTGTGAAATTATTTGAATCCATCTACTTACACGGCACATTTGAAAAGGTGAGATTTGCATTTGAAAAGGGTGAATCAGAACCAAAAACAGATTAGATAGAGATTCTTCCCCCTCCCAAGGGTCTGGAGTCATTTGCTGTAGCCATTAACATCTAACATGATTTCAGGTGAAGTGTTTCCTCAATAAACTTGAGTAACATTTTTATTTAAGAAAAGGAGAAAGAAGGAGCAAAAGTGGAGTGTCAGAGAGGAGACAGAGAGCTTTTTTGTTTGTTAAAGCCTTCATGCATACTTACATTGGTTCTAGATTGTTTATTATTATTATTTTCCTTAATGAAAAAGAATGAAGTTTAGGATGCAGGCCACCATAAATCTTGCCCAAATGGGGACTTTATTTCCTAACACTTGTCTAAATCCCAGACAACAGCACAGTCTGAATGCTTCCTAGGCCTGTCTAATCTTATACCCAACTTCTTTAAGTATCTCCTCCTCAGGCTGAAAATTTGATAAATATTAAGGTAATTTTTACTTCTGCATGCTCAGAACTGTCTGCTTTGGCAGAATGCGCAAATCTCCTATTTAGACTTCTTTTTTAATTCTGGGCTTAAGTAAACAGACAATGAACTCCACCTCAATACGGTGGAAAAATCTGAAGAATACAGCCCTTTTTTTAGTAGCCCACTGGATAAAGCACTCATCCAAGGAGGGAGGTGGCCAAGTTCTGGGTTCTGCTGAGACTGATGATGTTTTAGCTGCATCCTGAGACTGTCTATACCAACAAATCTCATGTTGACTGCAAATGGTGATGAAGTTTATAACGTGTGTATGAAATAAGGACTGAACCAGAAATCCCCCCTCCGAGGCTGATTCTGACAACCAGTTAAGTCCTCTTCCATCTGGTGCTAGAGAGGATTTTTCTTTAGGTGGTTTCTTACAGGAAGATATTAGAAGGATAACCATATCTGGAACGTTTATCAATATTCATTTGAGGGTTTTGTGGTGTTTTACTGCACATGGTGTAAAAGCCGAAATTCTCTTCAATTATGTGATATTTAGTTATTAGATAATTACAGATAATTGCATGGGCAAGTTCTATGAAATAAAGTGTTAGCATAACATCTAAAATCTACAAATCGGGTAACAATTATGTTTGGAGTTATATCGTTATTTCAAGTATAATTACCATGAGATTGGCAGTGCATGTAATTAATGAGTAATCACTGGAATTTGCCTTCATAGTTGCACTTCCCCCTTGTAAAGTTCTTTGTCACAACATTTAAGTATAAAGATAATATAAATTGACCTCCATGTGTGTTATACTAAAACTCAACATACTTATTTCCACTGCAGTACTAGCTCCTTAATGTTCTAAAAGCGTAGTTTCACAGAGAAAACAGAGAGGGGACAGTGTGCTCTGAATGGGGAAGAAGTGAAGCAACCTTTCAATCGACACCAGCTAGTGAGATAACTCTTTTCCATAGCTGTCCAAAGTAACACTTTTTTATCTGTTAAAGCTAGTTTGTAACTAGCTAAAATTCTGCTGAGAGTAAAGTCTTTCAAAATCTCCTCACATCATCTACTGTCTTCCTTCCATTGTAAGGAAACTTTGATTAACAAAATTTCATACAGAAGACAAGAATCTGTAGTTGACTCTTGGGTTCCAATTGAACAAAGCTTCTTTTTTCTTTTTTTAATATTGTTTATATAGGACACATTTTTGCCAAACTTTCAAGCTATTAAATAGTGGGTTTACTTCTTTGTTTGTTTGTTTCATTATTTATCAGGTTTTACCTGGCAAGATGATTATACACAGCATGTTATTGGTCAGGAACTCTCAACCATTCACAAAATCCACAACAGACGCCCTGATATATTTGCATCTGAAGGATCTGACACAGGCAGGTAAGTCTTCAGTGGTATTTTTGCCTCGTAGGTTTTTGGGAGGGTTTGCAAATGATGAGAAATAGATTGGCTCTGAAGCTGGATTAAACACATCACCAAAACCACAATCTGTACGGTAAAGGGAAACCAGTCATACAACAGCACTGAAAACACCAGTAGGAAAACAGCAGACAGAATGAATGAAAACCGTAAACCCCGTTCATCTGATTATCATCAAGTTAAGGAAATATGCCTTGTGTTGTTAATTTAGGTGTCAGAATTCAAAACATAAGGTCTTTCATCCAGTTTATGCAGTGTCTAGTGTCAGTTCAGCCAGCTTTACTTATGACTGGCTTAAAAAGGCAGACTTATACAGTAGCTCATCCACAGGAGACATTTTATTCTGGAATAAGCCAACAAAAAGAAACAAAAAGAAGTATTGAATGATATTCTGAGCAACTAATTATATTTTCAACCTCATATTTTTCCAAAACATAGCTGTAATTGATTTGAAGTCCACAGATTCTTTGTCTAGGAGGGAGAGATTCATGCAAGTTCCCATGACAGAAAACAATGTTGGGACATTTCTATCCTTTGCATTATAGAAGCCATTTTCCTCGTGGCTTGAAAGATATTGAGGAGTGACTTAGCAGTTATTGGTAGCAAGAGGCACAACGTCTATAATTCTGTAGAGCGATATGGACGTAGGACCTGCAATTATATCATGTTCACATACAGATGCACATATAAATATACTCTTTTACCTGGTCTATTCTGTCCTACAGGCTTTTAAGTGCAATGCAACCACACAAACCCCAGAAGGAAATTTTAAAATGCATGAAATTTTAGGAACGTTAAAAATGGTAAATTTTGCTTTCTACTACATGATTTTAAGAAATGCAATCTCAAAATTGGTGAAATTGAAAGAAAATGCTTTTTGTTAGAAAACTTTCTTCATAGTGGGACAAAGCTTGAGCTTCTAGCCTTTATGGGCAAGATATTGGATGTTGGACTTTAGATCTTCATATACCCCAGTATGTGGTTTGCATATACTGCAGAATCATTTCTTTTCTAGATTGCTTTTTTATGGAAATAAAAATGCTGTGTAACTGATACTGCCCAGAGGCTTCAGCTGTGTTTGCCTCAGTTTGATTTGATTTAATTCATAGAATTTGACCCTGTATTTCACATATTTGCTGATTCAAAATCATTCCTTAAAATCACAGCACCATGCATTTCAGGAGTGCAGTAAGGTAGCAACTTAACTTCTAAAGAAGATACTGATCTATAAATTATTGTAAAGGTGATAACAACATGTGGTTGAATCCATAAACATGTTTTCTCTGTCTAGATACGCAAAATGCTATTACTGTATGGATTACTCTCTGTACATGGTATCAGAAAGGATTTTGAATATCTTCTGGGGGATTTTTTTTTTTTTTTTTAGAATGAGTGTATCTAGAACTTTTATTCATGAGAGTAAGTTAAAATAGGCCAGATTTCCACAAGATCAAGACTGCATTCTGCAGTGTTCCAGATTCATAGTTATATAAAAATAAATCATATACGAAGATATGAGAAATAATTTAGTTTTTAGACTGAGAACAGATGATTACTTTTAGGAGTTCCTGTTGTAATCAGGTTTGAGCTGCTCTGCATTTTTAACTAGAACTGTATGTTAAAAAAATAACCCATTTTGCGTATTGACACTTTAGGAACATCAGAATTTCAAATGTGTTCCACTTATAGCAGTTCCTATTGTGGATAGATTTGCTGAAGTTACCAAGCTGTGCTTCTGAAAGCATTATCTTATGTGCCAACAGTTTAAAGCATTAATTGATTTTTCTGGTTGTCCATTTGCAATATATTCTATAGGTCACAGAACAGTAGGAACTTTTTCTCTGGTGTCTTATAGATTCTGATCAAGTTTGCTGTATGCTCAGTGTGCTCAATGGGCTTGCAAAAATCTTATCAGATAATAATTAAATAATTTAAAAAGCAACTTAGTGTAGGTAACTAATTATCAAAGAAACATTATGGCAGGAAGAACTTTTATTAAGAATAACGTGTGTAATAAGACAATATGAAGTCATACTAATGAGTCATTAATCCCCACAGAGCTAGTGAGAGCAAGAAAATAGACTCAGACACTTGAAAGGTAAATTGACTTAGGCTAAATTAGTGCGCTTGAAATCTGATGGAACAGAAGACATGGATTTCATCTTAAAAAAATTGCTGAAACTGAGAGCTTGATTTCAAGATGAAAGTTCTTTCTTTGGTGGCTAACTGGAATGTACGTGGTGTTTCCTGGGCCCTTATTAAATTTCAAAAAAACCCCACTCTTGAAAGAGGATCCAAGATAAAGGAAAAAAGTCCATTCTGCACACAGGGAATAAATGTCAGTTGTGTTCATTGGTGCAATTAGGCAAAACCACAAATGCTTCCAGCAAACTTCAATGTATGAAATGGGGTATAGCATTATTTCTATAATAAAACCATCGTTAAGTCAGTAATAAGATTCTCACAGCATTTAAAAGGGAGAAACTTTATTCTAAAAAGTGTGGTATCTGTTAATTGAGAACATTCTAGAAATATCTGAGGTACAATGATTTAGATATTTCCACACAAAAGTTTCTAGGGCACTGGGTTTTGTAGGAAATAAGCAATTGTTTCTGTGGATAAATAATTATATATGTTATTGTCTTTATACCCTAAAGTTCATTGTATGAGAAGTCCTGTTTCAGAACAAATTAAAACTGAAAATACTTCCAAATAAGTGCACAACAAGAACTCAGCTGACAGCCATTTCTCCTACTCACCAGGTGTTTCTATATATTTGTCTTTCATCCATTTTCCAATATCACTTTGTCAAATTTAAAAGAAATATTTTCATTCAGTTGCAATAATAGCTCATTTAATGCATTTTACTTTCTGTGTTAACAAGGTGAAAAACAGTGATACACTGGTGAACTACAAAAATTTTTAAATATCTTTCAGATGTATTCATAGGATTTTATTAAAGTTGTCATCAAATGAAATGTAATGCTTTGTTAGACATTTACATTTTAATTGTTTAAAAGCTTATAGCATAAAATATTACATCTAATGTGGAATTTAAACACAATTTGAGTGCAATTGCTGTCTCCATAAGAAAAATGAGAAATCTGAGACCCTAGATTTTGCTTCTACCACCAGTGTGAGTGATTATATACTGTAAATAATGTCTTGAAAAGCTAACCTAAATACCGTCTTTTATTTGTGCATTCAGTTCCTATTAGCTCCAGTGGAAATTCTCGGGGCAGAGTTTGGTCTGGTATTGCCATTTTCCCTTTCTTTTCAAAGCTAGCGAAGAAAAGAGAAGATAGGTGTTGGAATTAATTGATGAATGAAAGATGAGCGTTTGAAACTGTGATACCATCTATGATGAGAGCCTCTTCGGATTAGTTCATCTCTACTGAAGCGCAAAGCATACTGCCCAGCTCTTTCTAAAACTGCAGAACAGTTTTAGTCTGGCTTTAAGTTGAAAAGAAGGTGGATAATGTTACCTGCATGTCCACCTTCCATCATAAGGCAGAATTTAGAGCTCTGGAATTAGAGAAAAATATGAGCAGCATGAGGAGGAAGCAAGACTTATGGCGAATTATATCAAGATCGCTATAGTGTTCTGTGCGGTAAACCTTTGTTTTCCTAGAGTTTGTGTGCCTGATGAGTAGCTGGTTGTTTTACACTGGGGAGAGGTGAAGGGGTTTTCTGGTACTTCAAAGTGAGCGACCCTATGAGTGCTATTGGTTGCAATGCCACCACAGTAAATTAGATTATTAATTACATTTATTGGTATTAAATTAGTCAGGACATACATTTGATACAACTGTGAGCATGGAAGGAAGTCTATTAGTTTGTGCATAAAGTAATGTAATTAAACCCAAGATCTGGAAAACGACATAATGGTACTCTCTCAAGCTGTGTCCCTACATAAGCACCATGACAGGGGCTAGTAGAGTAACATTTTGCTTACAGTGGTGCAGAGATGTTGAATGTCAAATGATGCCTCGTCCCCCTGAGCTGGAAAGCTCTTCCACCTGGAATTGTTCTTCACTGAAGAAGTGTGTGGGCATGTGGGTAGGAAATGGTGACACCAAAAAGGTGATTTCCCTCAAAACAATGTGTCACTCACAGGGAAGGAAGCAGACTGGGAACCCTCTCTCTGCTTTCTTGCACAAGGAATGAAATAGTTACTCGTGTTGACATTTAAATTATCATCATCATTGACATGTTGTTGAGATAGATGAGGAGAGCCGGTAATAATTTAGATTCATTGCTCACAGCGCCCTGAATCCCATATGAACAACTCTACACTGCTGTTGTTTAATCACATTTTTAGCTTTTCTTTGCAAACGTCACCAAGATCCATCTAAACCAGTCTGGAAACACCGCTATTCTGTGAATCCCAGGCACATGAGAAGATCAGAAGAGATACTTCTCCATCTCATTATTCCCTTTTTAAGCCTTTTGCTGGAGCTGACTTGCTCAGTTATTTCTGCACATCCAGTAGTCTCACTGTATTCTGTAAATTGGTGCAGGGCCAAATTGATGTTGAATCTCATCATCATCCAGAATTTTTTTTAAATCTTAGAACCATCTCATATTTCTTTGGGGTGCAATTTAATCGTGCATATTTTCTTTTTACAAGCATTTTCTTTTCTTCCGAATATGACTTTGCCTTGATGTAGGCATTTTATTTGATTTACTGTTGGATCATTAACTTTGATTCATGCAATAAATTGTTAATAGTGCAAGATTTTTTGACTGCTTTTGCTGAAACATTGAATTTTCTATACTTTTGTGGTTGCTAAGCTTTTGAGTGACTTTTTTGTTATGTATGGAACTAACTTCAGTGGTTTGCAGTGGCTTTTTAGTTGGGCACTTTGTATGTTGTACAGGCTGGTAACTTTTTTTTCCTTGCTTTTGCTGTGCAGGACTTTGGGACAGAATGCAGATAATCAAAGAAATTATGATCTGGAAAATGATGTGAACTTGGCCAAGTCTCTTCAGCAATATCTTAAATATCTCGGTATTCTCTCCCAGTCTGCAGCTACAAATTTATATCCAAGGAAGACGAATGACAAAGCTTCTGTCAAGGTAGTATTTTTAATGTGGTTCCTATATTCTGTGATTTTGTCTTCCTTCTTCTCTGAATTCTCCTTATTTTTCAATTTTCCCTTCTGTCTCAAGACCAGACATTGTTTCTTACTGCCTCCCCCAACTGATTATCATAACCGCACTAACCAATTTCTCTCCAAATGCACTGAGTCAGCTTCAGCATTGTAAACGATAGAGGTCTTCTAATCTGGAGCATTTTACCTTAACTAGGGGTGGATCGTATGTGAGGAAGGAGGAAGAGTGGGATAAAGGTGGTAACATCTTCACTGGCTGATCTGAAACCCTTCTTACAGCATCTGAACTGCTCCTCTCCAAAGAGCTGACTGAATTACCCTGTGAATTCTTGCTGGTGTTTACGGTGCTTAGAGTACAATTAACATAATCTTTGAGCAGATTTTGGTAACAGATCTGATGTATTGTACCTCAACGTTTTCTACTTTTTATTGATCACAAAGGAAGCCTATTGTGACCAATTAAGGTTCGTATCTATACATTATAAATATATGTATAGCTAGGAAGATAAATCATAACCATTAAATCTTGAGTATTGGCTATGTCAAAAAAACACACAAATGCCTATTTGAGAACTAAACCATTTTTTTTCTTTCCTAGAGAAAACCTGTCTCGCTTTAAGATGGACCTTGATAAATTTATAAAAATGGTTGGATGAAGGGGTTGCATATGACAGGCCCTTATAGCCCTATGTCTTTTGCTCAAAAAATGTGTTTATCCAAAGCACTCTATTATTTTTAAGAAATAGGCTGCTATTATAGTGATCCTTTAAAAAAATTGGTATGTGCTATTTGCATGAATGCAGTGTAAATGCAACAATTAGATAAAAAATACACTGAAGTTTTAGAAAAAAAATCGGGGGAATATAGTGTCAAAGCCAAACTACTAGCTTTTTCCAGGAAGTAACTCAGAGGCACAAAACCACTGCAGTGTATCTGCACCAGCAGCTCCCCACAACAGTATCAGTTGTATCAACTGTTTAGTCATGGTATAACTGAAATGTTGTTATTCTTGTCAGAAGCCCCACGTTTCCAATTTCACTGATTGGTATATATAACGCTAATGATTTATGGCGTCTGTCACTAGGTGTTCATCTGGGGTAAAAGAAATTTGCAGGCAGTGGCAAGGCAGCTTTGGGGATGGATGAGTGACCACCTTCGTGGTACCTTTCCTCCACTCTCTACTTATGGGTGCTGACTGCAGTGAGGATGCCCTGCTTTGAATCACTGGCTTTCAGAGACAAGAAAACTTGCTCAAGAAGTACTTCAGTGGGTCTGGTGCTGTCATGCAAGTTCATAAATAATCCATATGGCTGAGACCTTCTGTGGGGAAGCCTGCTGTGATAACACCACCCACCAACCTTATTGAGTGTTGCCATGGAGATGGGTACTCTGAAGCCTGGGGGAGTGGGATAAAGAGGAGAAAATCTGGAAATGAAGCACGTATAGGAGCAAACTGTACACTACTGTTTACTAAGGAGCATTTTAAAACAACAGACATTGAGTCAGATGTGTTACCTATCATTTAAAATAAAAAAAAAGGAAAATTATCTTAAAAATTAGTAATCAATCATGAATTTTAAATGATCCTGGAGACGCTTCCCTATCCTCTGCAAATCAAATGCAACTGCTCTTCCTTAAAAAGAAACAAGAGGGACACTATTTGTACCTTGACTCATTGGATCATTAATGGAATAACAGTTAAAGAAAAGAGAAACCAGGATTTTTGCTGCTCCAAGAAGCAGAAAGAATGTAAAATTTAACAAATTGAAAAGAGTAGGAAGGAAAGTAACTGCAAGAGCTGCATTTCATATGGTCATACCACTTGAAATTGAAAATGGCTATCTTACGCACTTTAATTGCATGCTTTAACAAAATCGTAGTACCTTATTTTTGTATTTCATATGTGGATAAACTATGAATCTACATGAAATAACTGTAGCAAGATCTTATCTCTTTAACTTTCTTGCCCTTTTCTGATTAAAAATAAGGGTAAGACAGAGGTACTTTACCCTACTTAAACTTAGAATTTCAGCTTTTGGGCCTTTGCCCTTCTTAAAAATAATTTTGTTTCAAGTATATATTTACCTCTGTCACTTCGTTCTTGCTGTCGGGGAGTAGGAGATGTAACACTACTCTGGTTGCTTTGATACCTTACCTGTTATGAAGCGTAGCTGAATCTTGTAGAAATTCAGTGCTTCTAGGCAGACTTCTTGAGTGGATTCTGCCTTGTTCCAAAACTGTCATCAGAAGACTCTGGCCAAGAGTAAAACAAAGGAAGAAAAAAGACAAAGAGGCTTTAAAATATTTGTTATACTCCAGATGTGTTATTTAGTATCTTAACATAAATATTTTTAATCAAACTGTTTTACAAACTTTTGGTCTTTAGTTTTCCTGCTATCTTCCACATGTATTATCAGAATAAAACTACAGAGCTACATTACCAAGTAGACAGCACACATACAGTTATGCATAAAGCTGTAACATAAGACACAACAAAACCTAAAAAAGGTAACTCTTTTTCTGTTTCCGTTGTTCAAACAACTGTCAGCTTAAGGCTTGATACAACAGGGACAGAAATAACACTATTAAACTTAAATCCTGTGATGGACCAAAATTCCTATAATGCCCACCATTTATTGCAAGAACTTCTTTGAGTGATTTTTGAAGCACTTAAAGTTCATCACTAACTTAGAATTTTTTCGCAGTATTTAGACAGTATCTACTGCAGGCTGTAATCTAGCCGGCCGATAATGACTCTGCCAGTGGATAAATAGCAGTAAATCAGAAGATTTGGTGGGTCTGTTTCCTGAGGATTACAGTTGTAAAGAACATTTCACTTTAGTTCAGCTGAAAAGAGTTGTTCAGAAAATGGGCGCTTGGTGGCATTTGTTCCTTCAGCATTAGCTAGTGGGTTTTTGTGTTTGGGATTTTTTCTCCCACTTGGGCTTAATGAAGGTTTTACCATTCACAAAATGCTGCATTATCAGTCTTTGTGATTCTTTTCTACCAAACCTGGATTTACTATGGAAAATACCATATAGCCAGGCACATACACATAATGAGAAAGCTTGGTTTATATTATATACAGAGGCAAGAAATGCAGAGGCTTCAAATCATGTGTGAATTCCCCTGCTCTTCTCCCCTCCAGTTAGAACAAACTCCTCTCATAGAGGAAAAGCCCCAAACCAAAACCCTGACAAAAACACTACACTATTGATATTCCTACAGAAACTGAGAAGCAGAGTTTTGTTGGGTTCAAAGGGACAGCACATAGGTTATATTACCAAAGCAAGTCAGCTGTAAAAGGAGACCTTGCTTGCTTTGCTGCTGATGGCAGCCCTGCTGGTGAGCTCTGTGGGAGCGTTTGCATAGCCGGGAATGTGGGAAGCATTGAGGAAATCGTTAAATAAAGGAGATGGAAAAAGAAAAAAACAGCTATGTCCACAGCGGCCATTACAACAAAGCAAGAAGAGAGGCAGCAAAAATGATCAGTATGGAAACAAATACTACCGTTGTCTACTTTTCACCAGCCATTAGCCTAGGCAGTGAGGAATGATCTTACATTATAGTTTTTTAAAAAGTCCAAATGCCTGCAGTTGAATAGTTACAGGAGATTTCAATTATACTGCTTTCATCCGACCGAGAATAGTTTTCTAGTCATCATAGAAAGAGAAAAGATTTGAAATGTGATCCAAATGTACTTAAAAGTCTCAAAATCAGGAAGAAAATAAAAATAACCCACCCAGAAATGGTTGGTTTTTGGTTGAACTAGCTATCATTTTTAGCTGGAACTGCTTGCTTTTTTCTTGAACTAGCTATCATTTTTACATATTCTCTTGCCTTCTGGTAGCCTGACTTGTGAATTTTTTAATGCCTCAGGCTGGCAAAAGTCCACTGCTTTGGTAACATAGCACTGCACTGGGCTCATTTCAGATGTAGTGGCTATAGCAGGCAGCAATCGTGTCCACCGTGCCACATGGGGCTGGGCGCTCCATCGGCTCCTCTGGGAAACCTTCTGGACAGGCTGTAGGAATAAGGAGGTTGCCTACTACACTTATGCTAGTGCTGCATTTCTTGTTGCAGGGGTCTCTGTTTTATGGTTTAGGTTTTTAGGGCTAGAAGATGCATGTAATTGCTCTTATTCTTTCATCTTGACTTGCCTCTGAGGTCTTCAGACATGGGTCCTACCTGCTGCTAAGGTCTTCCTCAGGCTGGTGTGCCATTCAGGCCCTAATACATAGCGTTGAGAAGAAGAGAGAAAAAAGATTGTCTTAGAGTCTTCAGGGACTATCATCCATTTTCTGCTTTTTCTGTTTCTCTGTTTCTCTGCCTTTTTGTTTCTTGGTACTTGCGTTAATTTTTAGGGTAAACTTCATGTATAAAAAGTGTGATTACAGAAATCTCCGAGTCTCATGTATTCTTATGAGTTTTAAAGCAAAGACTTTGGAATAAAACAGAATCTTTACATCAAAGAAGTCGCTAATAAAGTTAAAGGTCTTTGCAGAATCATGAAGGGAAAAAGTGACTGGTTAGCGACAGAGGGGTATGGCTGGTTGTTAGATCAGCAGTACAATGATGCTGAAATGGGAGAACATGGAAATAAAAACTGTTGAGGCAGAGTCGGTCTGCTGGAATCTAGAAGGGTATGAAGGTTAGACAAGGCATTTGGTAAGGCTTATATTTTAGTCCTTGGTACAAGAGAGAACCTTCCACCTCTTTTCCCCTTTCACATACAGGGAAGAGTACTTACAGCTTTGCTGGGTTTAAAATCAATTGTTTGGGGCTTTGTAATTGATCTCCTGAGAGAACTAGGATATGTGATAAATACTAAAAAGGATTATTATTTATTTTAGAAAATCTGAGTGCACAAGTGCTCAAAGACGTACTCTGAACTTATCTGCAAATAATAATTACTGTCGTTAGCTAGTAAGAAATTACGCAGTCATTGCTCATTTTAATCTGGAT